TTATGATTCTTCATGCGGTGTTGTTTCTGTCTCCGTCGTTTAGATTCTTATGTTAAGCCTTGATTTGACTGTGAATTATCGCTTACTCGATTCGTTGATACTGTTTTTGATTCTCGAGTTTAAGATCTGATTTTTCATCGATCTATCCGCTTACTCTAGGTCTGATGGATTCTGTTGTAGAATCCTCTTTTTTGCATATAGCGTTTACTTTCTCATATCGTCTGTTAGGGTTTTTGAGAATCGGATATGCTTGTAGCTCCGCATGTTGTTATTGATTATGGTTGCAGATTTGTGATGCGATGGCTTCTATAGTCGGTAGATTTGATGTCTTGTGGTTAGATCTTTGCTTTGACGATTCTCAGTAGTTTAGATGATAATATAAGGCTTAGTATCAAACGATCTGTATGGTATTTGGCTTTGTTGTATACTGTTTTGAGCTTTTGCCGATTGTTAATGAACATGTTTTGATCATTGGGTTGATGTATCTGCTTTTGTTTGTTCTGATTTGCAGCTATGGGTAAAGAGAAGTTTCACATCAACATTGTGGTCATTGGCCATGTCGACTCTGGAAAATCGACAACCACTGGTCACTTGATCTACAAGCTTGGTGGTATTGACAAGCGTGTGATTGAGAGGTTCGAGAAGGAGGCTGCTGAGATGAACAAGAGGTCKTTCAAGTACGCATGGGTGTTGGACAAACTTAAGGCTGAGCGTGAACGTGGTATCACCATTGACATTGCTCTCTGGAAGTTCGAGACCACCAAGTACTACTGCACAGTCATTGATGCTCCTGGTCATCGTGATTTCATCAAGAACATGATYACTGGTACCTCCCAGGCYGATTGTGCTGTCCTCATCATTGACTCCACCACTGGTGGTTTTGARGCTGGTATCTCTAAGGATGGACAGACCMGKGARCACGCTCTTCTTGCTTTCACCCTTGGTGTCAAACAGATGATTTGCTGCTGTAACAAGGTGAATTACATTCTCAGTTATATTCTGTAATTGTGATTCTTAATCTTTTGTTGTGATGCTAATATATGTTTCGCTGTTTGTTTTTTCTTACAGATGGATGCTACTACCCCCAAGTACTCCAAGGGAAGGTACGAGGAAATTGTCAAGGAGGTGTCTTCCTACTTGAAGAAGGTTGGATACAACCCAGACAAAATCCCATTTGTGCCCATCTCTGGTTTCGAGGGAGACAACATGATTGAGAGGTCCACCAACCTTGACTGGTACAAGGGACCAACCCTCCTTGAGGCTCTTGATGCTATCAACGAGCCCAAGAGGCCATCAGACAAGCCCCTCCGTCTTCCCCTTCAGGATGTCTACAAGATTGGTGGTATTGGAACGGTGCCAGTGGGTCGTGTTGAGACTGGTATGCTCAAGCCTGGTATGGTTGTGACCTTTGCTCCTTCAGGGTTGACCACTGAGGTTAAGTCTGTTGAGATGCACCACGAGTCTCTTGTTGAGGCACTTCCAGGTGATAATGTTGGGTTCAATGTTAAGAATGTTGCTGTCAAGGATCTTAAGCGTGGGTATGTCGCATCAAACTCCAAGGACGACCCTGCCAAGGGAGCAGCCAACTTCACCTCCCAGGTCATCATCATGAACCACCCTGGTCAGATCGGTAACGGTTACGCCCCGGTTCTCGATTGCCACACCTCCCACATTGCAGTCAAGTTCACTGAGATCTTGACCAAGATTGACAGGCGTTCTGGTAAGGAGATTGAGAAGGAGCCCAAGTTCTTGAAGAACGGTGACGCTGGTATGGTTAAGATGACTCCGACCAAGCCTATGGTTGTTGAGACCTTCATGGAGTACCCTCCATTGGGACGTTTTGCTGTTAGGGACATGAGGCAGACTGTCGCTGTTGGTGTTATCAAGAGTGTTGACAAGAAGGACCCAACCGGTGCTAAGGTGACCAAGGCTGCAGTCAAGAAGGGAGCCAAATGATGAGACTTTCGTTTCTCTTGTGGTTTTTTTCTTTGGTTTGAAACTTCAATGGCGTTTTGAGCC